CTTGTCGCCGTCGTCCACCATGTCCCAGCTTACGGATGGGAGCGGCGACGTCGCCCTGTCCTAGATTGGGTCGTCGATGGCGTCGGTCGTCAATACCCAGCCCGCGATCGACGACGCGGGCCGGGATGATTGCAGCTGGGCTCGCAGTAGGTCAGGAGAGGACGGGTGGGGGCGACCACGGCGCCGAGGAGTCGAGACAGTTTCGGACTGTCAGTTCCACCGACAGGTTGCTGATGTGACTGGTGGTAGTTGATGATTATGACGAAGATTTGCATCATGCCTGTGGAAGCTGACGTGTTCTTAGGACTTCATTACGACTCTTGTTGCGCAATGCCGATATGAATGCGAATGCCACGGGTTGGTGTGTGAGTCACCTGTGACACGCGTTGGCGGAGCGATGTTCCCACACCCGACCTCGAGTCAGCGACCGACTTATCTCGGAGTGTGGTCTGACTTGCACCTCGTCCGGCCAGCCGCCTCCCCACGCTGGCTCACAGTCGTCTCGAATACCGCCCTGAACCCTTCCCTTCCTCGTTTCCATCAGCAGCGTGCACCTGCTCACCTACTCTGGCCAGTGTGCCACTGACCGGCTGCCGCCGACCCATCAGCCCCCGACCCATCAGCCCCGTGTCTCGCCTTGCTGCCGTCCGGCGCCGCTCCGACCGGAGTGTGCCACACCTGGCCTCAACTGACAGCGGCCAACAACCGCTGTCCGGATGGCTCCGCTCAAGCTCCGCTGAAGCGATGACTGGCTACTAGTTCGCATTGATTCGCCTCCGTTAGCCTTTGACGCTCGCGAAAAGTAGAGATGATACCGGTGAACGATACAAGAGCAGGGAGTTTGGCTGTGGATGAAGTGCTTTTTTATCACGAACTTGGAGCGGCTTGGTAACTCAAACCTGCTCACCAGCTCATGTCGTGGCCTATTTAAGACCGGCGTAAGGTCGCGATTTCTTGTTTTGCTCAGCGGAAAGGATGAGTAACAGCTCAGGCATCTGCTCCGAGAATGGGTCAGACACTCCTCTGTGAAGCCAAACGGCTGCTCTGATGATATCTGTCTCTGCCCATCCCGTTTTCGCATTCCGCTCCTGCAGGAGAGATGGAACCGAGCCACGGCGGCGTGGCAACAGTAGGTATCGCGTATCACGCGGCACGTGGCATCATCCGCCAGATCCCTGCCTGTCAGTCGGATTGGAAGACGTTTGTGGTCCTAAAATTCAGCTCGTAAACGCACACCTATGAGCAACTACATGAATTACAGCCAGTAAGGTAAACTTCTGCTCCTTTGTGTTTCGCTCACAGGGTGATGAGCTGCACCGATCACGCAGCCTTCAGCAGTTGACAACACTGCAAGGTCACGCACCCAATTAGAGCAGATTATCGTGCATGCTCTATTTTGTAATACATGCGATTGTGACATGCTGGTCTCAGCTGGGTATTGTGCGAGGGATTTTTAGTACTTTGTCAGCGCAGAGGGACAGGGTGGACGTATTCTGCCACTCTGGACAGAGGAATAAACGGCTTTCCATAGCTGAGACCGTATTGCACTCAACCCTCCGGGCATTACAATACTCCTTCGCTCAATTTCAAGGACAAAGAGTCGCTAAGTAACTATGCATATTTTGAGCCAGCCTTTTGTATCCGCCCAGTGTTGAGGCGCGCGAAAATGCCCCTCACTTCACCCTGGCTCGCTTACGGAAGCTCATCTTCGTTCATAGAAGTGATGTTGGGTATTGATGCGCCTGCTGCGTTCCACATACCGGCCGACATGACTCCTGTGTGGACGTCCCTTCCGTCTCCTCGCGCGGGCGTCCAGTAGGCCGTGATAATCGCCGTCTGTTTACGGCTGCGGCCACCGTCCGGCAGCCGCCACTCCACCCAAACGGCCGTGTAAAAACAGCCTCCTGAGTGCCCACTCCTCGTGGGCGTGCCGCGCTCATCAACAGAGTCTCCTTCCTCCCTGCAGTCGCTAACGAGGCGACCGGAGCCGGCGGCCGACAGTGCGCCGGGTCACGACGGCCGGGCGGCGCTCACCGGCCCGCCCGCCCTCCAGATGCACCGGAGGCGCTCGGAGCGCAACAAACATCACTGCTGTCTACGATTCTGCACCGAGCGAGAATTCTCGAAAGGAGCTCCAAGCTGAAGAGGCGAGGGCCCGACGAACAATTGTCATCTAAAACCTGGTCTACATGCCCGCAGGATGACCTTAAGTGGAACGTTTCCGTCGGCCAAGTTGAAGACTCATTGACTTGACGAGTATCTTCAAGAGGCCTCCTGATGAAGCCCTGGTCACGACCTTACTGGGATGACCTCTCAAACTAAAGAGGTCCACGCCCCCTGGTGGCCTCCGCCGCCGCGGCTCCGGCGTACTCCCGACCATGTCATTAGCTGGCTCAGATTCCGCCGTCTTCCCCAGCCATCCCAGTCGGGGGCAATCAGTTGGCGGCACGGCTTTAACGAGTTGGCGTCGGCTCTGTAACGGACGCGGCTGCGGCCCGCCTCCCTCTGCCGCCCCCGCCCCCGCCCCCGCCCGCCGCCCGCCGCCCCCGCCCGCCGCCCGCCGCCCCCGCCCGCCGCCCGCCGCCCCCGCCCCCGCCCCCGCCCCCGCCCGCTGCCATCGACCCGGGTGCGTCGTTACGGTTGGCGCTGGGGTCGGCGTCGTGACTGCATTGCAGGGAGGCCCGCTAGCCTGGTGGCCGCGTGACCCAGTGGATCGGGATCGGGCCAGCATAGAGACTAGACGAAGAAGCCACTGAGGCGAAGACGAGGCTGAGGAATGACCTGGGGTTCACTTGGGACGTCTCATAAAGAGACGAAAATAGTCTTCGAGTCTGGCTGTGAAGTCAGAACGACCTATGTTTAGTGGATGACAGTCGAAAGTTATCAGTCATAAACCCTTCGGTGGCTTAGGAGTCTCCATTTGAGCGATATCTTCTGCCGTGTGTCTCTCGGCGAGCGCGACGTCGATTTTATTTTGCTCCGGTACGTATCTGACTAGAGTGGCTCCCGATACAGCACCCTAAGTGCACATTTGGTCTGGGATAAATGTATTGCATGATATTGCTCTGCATTTGAACTGCAAGCCCTTTGTCATGATGACCGTCTGCGGCCGTATGCTATTCGTGGAAGGCTGAATCTATGCTTGTGTCGGGGTTGGCACAGGGCTGGACTTCGACGAGCTGAGCTAGGCTGGCTATAGTGCCCCTGTGATGGACTGTGATTGGTGTGATAGAGATAGGTCGGAGGAGTCCTCCACGGTCCAGTGAGCGCGAGGTGGTGCTGCTGACCGACTCCCGCGGGCATAAACTCAAACTGGTGGTCCTGGCCGTCAAAACGTGGGCCATAGATCAGCGCAGCCTCAGAGCTTCAGTGGACTGGGTCTGCTGATGTGGTCTGGGTCTCGCGAGACTGAGAGTGTCTATAGCATCCTGCGGTGGGTTGAAATGTCTCTCATCTCGTTTGGCTGCCCACCAACCCAACGGTCGTACACCGCATCCCACAGTTCACATAATGGCTCGGATAACATCACGAGCTCAATTCAAGCGTGACATTGCGTCATGCATAACGGATGGATAGAGCCCGTTCGACAAATCGCCCTCTTCAGTCGATATCTTCTGGTCGTGACACTATTGTGAATGGATCTATCCCATGCATGTGGCGGGCGTTCTGTTATCCATTATTGAAGTACCTACATTTGGTGAACGAGGTGCCGCGATGGTCCATCCCAGACATCGGCCCTTACTACTCGCAATAACTGAGGATGACTATCTCGACGGCACTGGTCCGTTGCAGGAGCGGCCCACCCTGCTATCCTCTCTCAGTCCTTGTGTCGGCTGACAGCTATCCGCCGCCCGCCCGGTCCGCAGTGGACGCCCACTTTTTGTCCGCATTACTGACCCGTGTTTGGCACGCGCTGTCAGCACTGCCGGCGAAGTGCCGCTCTCACATCGTTTGTGCCGAACTGCGCCAATATTGTCACTGCGGATGTCCGTGTGGCATAGCGCTATCGCCTTGTTTCTCTGTGTTGGTTGGATGGTGTATATCCCGATACGTTCCCTGCAGATGATGCCACTTGGTAACAGAAAACAACATTTCACAATGAAACAGAACTGGTCTCGCTCTTCATTCGACATGTTTTTCAGTTCTTGGCCTTTCGTGCCTTCAAGCTGTGAGTTCTAGTTCTGACTATCCGGTACAGAGCTGATGCCTTTCCAAAAAGGAACGCACGGGGTCCTTGACATGATTATTCAAGTGAGCTCGCATGCACAGGGGTGTGGCGGAAAGCTTATTCGGCGGCTTACAGCGGTAGCGTGTCGGCTTTGGTGCTGTCGGCAGACATTTTCTTGCCCTGCAAGCGTGAGCCTGTCTGTTCGTCAAAATGTCTGCCTGCAGACTGAACGGATCGCGAAGTGGCGGAATTTAACCCCGATGTTGTTGTTTCACGTGTTGGCCACTTTGCATTTTACGATGTAATGCCTATAGTTGCGCAGGTAACCGCACTCTTTATGTGCCGACTTTTGCAGCATTTTCCCAGGACGGCGAATGGGGCGGATTGTAGTCTGAGGAGGCCGTCGGTCCCACCCCATGGTCTCTGTAGCCTGTGGTCTGACCTGGCGTGACCTCAAGCGCAATGCAAACCGACGTGGTGCCGTGGTGGTCGACCCGATATGAATACAGAGTCATTGCCTCTGATTGAACTGTTAGGCTTGTAATCGGATGAAAACATACAAGTCATGGACATAACCCGCCTAACCAGCTACCCCTCGAACTGACCTGTTTTAGTTGTCGGTCTGACCCGTGACCAGTCACCTTGGACCTATGAATCGTCGATACAGCTTGCGTTCTACGCGTTAGGAGTGGTCTGTCTAGTGTGATTTTTTACGTACAATTCGACTGCGTAATGCGTACAACCCACCACTTGTGTGTAGCTAACCAGTGACCGTCACCGTCAGTCTAACCCGTATCCCGCTGATATCTGACTGTGACCTTTCTATTCACAGCTACCCGGACGTGCCGCACCGGGAGATGACACGGAGCCCCGGAGACGCCAGCGCGCGCATCCGTAACCTCTCCACCGTGCTGAAGAACATCAAACACTTCTATGAGGTCAGTGCAAACACTGTCAGCGCAGCCGTCGCTCCGTTGGTCGCCTGTCGCCTCTGTTGGCTGTGGCCACCGATGATCCGTTGGGCTAATCCGAGCCACCGACCGGCCTTGGTCGGGCTCTTTTGTGGACCAGCCGCGAGGCGCGAGCGAAGGCGAGAGACATAACGGGATCGATTTATCTGAGGAGGGCTGTCCAAACCAGAGATAAACTTCGGCTATACAGGATGAACATTGCGTTGTGTTATTCGCAAACGATATGAGAGAAGCCATAGAAATACGTTGCTTTCGTTTGATCCATGCCTTAGCTAAATAGGTACCCGCGTCGGGTTATTCGCGCGAGGTATCCACCTTACTCCGTCACCTAGCGCGTCCAATGTGGGTAGTCAGCGGACGTTTGCTTACAGTGCACACTCCTAGCTGAGGGACACCCAGTGGACTGGCGTGTCCCGTCCTCTGGAGGCGCAATCCGCCTCCCCATCCACCGCCACGCCATGCACCGCGAATGGCAATAACCCGATCTTCTGGGACCAATAATGGTCTCGGGAACGCCCACGCCGCTATCGTACGCTATCGTGGGTCCGTGCCCGTTAATCTCCATGGGTGTCGGACCAAGGGAAGGAGCACCCTCCCATCGCGGGTCGGGGACGTCGCGTCTGGTTGGCCCAGCTGCGTCGTCGAACAAAATCGCCGCCGGCTGCTCCTCGGAACACAGGTGTGCGACGTTCACAGATTCTGGTACGCTGTCAAAGGTTATCGGCCTCTGCACCCCGTTTCGTGTTTTCGTTCGGGCCAGGTGGCCTCCAGAGTCGTAAGCTAAATAACTTTTCGATTTTTTTATTTGAATTTTATTTTAAAACGCCCTTTGTACTACCATTACCTAAATATTCTTCGCATGTTTCGCCTTGATGAGCGAAACATGTTCTCCGTTGAAAAAAAAAAACTTTTAGAGTACCCTTGAAGTCTTTTTTATTACATAAACTGGCAACTCCAGACAGTTAGGCGCCCGCCTCACAATCTGGTAACACCGGCGATAAATTCCTGACGTAAAGATAACGCTAATGCGGTGTCTGTGGACCATGAGTGCGGTGCGGCTGTTCCAAAGCAGGATGTACCGTTTCTCGGGAAGGATAAGGCGACTTTGGCCACCACACCAACATGCACCGTGTACGAGCTCTCCGTTTGGAATGGCTCCTTTCAGCGTGCTGGACAGTCGCCATGTGCATTAGCATGTCAATGGACATTTGAACAGTGCTGAAAGCGAACCTTTTTAGGTGCGTGGTACATGACTTGGCTGCGCCAATTAGGGGGCCCTATTGAGAAGCCACGTTGGTAGACGCGGAAAAATGAGAGCCTGCTTTCGACAAATTCTGCTCCGCTGCGCCCGACCTCGTCGGCTTTTGTCTTAGGAACGTAGATAGGCGAATAGTATGCCTTTCACGTGGATAAAAAGAGGTATTTCTGGCCATGGCCATCTGTCGACACCCATCATTTGGGCCGGGCCTCGAAGTGAAGAGGTCACCATCCTCCTACCTGGAACCAGTGCCCTCCCACTCTCTCCATCATTCGGCTCGCGATTAGGGCATTCTCTCATGATACGCATCACGAGCTGAACTACAATGACGTGAGCTATGCGTTGACCGTCATTGTTGCTCAACTGCATGAAAGCTGCTCACGCTTTCTTTAGATCAGTTCCGTGGCATAATTAAGGCTTTCCTTCTGCGCTCCTCTTCAGCAATTAGTCAATCTTGACCATGCGGGCCCGCAGGTTTTGCGTGACGTTCTGGAGCCACCAGCACGTGTTTGTGTCCATTTGACCAGTTGTCTCACTGTCCAGTAATGCGCCCTGCCGCTGCCGCACCTGCCAGGGTCGAGGCTGGCAGCACCACAGACCGATTACTCCGCACGGGTATTTGTCGGCCGGTGTTGTGCCGTGCCCGTTTCCGACAGGGCGGTGTCCGTGCGGAGCTCCGGCCGCACGCCACTGACGCGCGGAGGTCAGTGGAGAGGTCATCTGCGGGTCACAGACGGGTCAGCGTTGGGTCAGGGAGGCCACCGCCTTGTGGCGGACCACGCCTGACTCCGCGGCGAGTTTAGGCCGCGAGTCCGGGAGCATGAGGTTTGTTCCCGTTTCCGTTTGACGAACGCCGAAGACTACTTCGGCGCCGAACGTGGCCTGTATCATTTGAACTAAATAGGTACGAGGTGTCAACTCGCTGTAACCTGGCAGGTGTCGGTGACCTGAATTTCGTGCAAGCTAACGTCAACGACTTCCCCTGCCACATGGACGTTCATCGATGACACCTCATTCACCTGCTGGGAGCGGCCGTGCGAAGGTCGGGACCCATCCACCTAGAGTTTGTCCAGTGGTCTGTTTGTCATTCTTGCAACCAAGCAGGACACTTCACACCTTAGCTCGATTGTTCACGGGGCTACTTTGTCACCACTTTCTTCATTGCGTAACGTCGTGCTTGGTTTCAGCGTCCAGTCGCTGCAACATGGCAGTCCGCATTGTTCCGTCCTATGCATTTATACGGCGAATGCATGGTACAAGGTGACGGTAAATGCCACGTCCGTTACTGGCTTGTTAACTGTGGAGTATGGACGTGGCACTCCATGACGCAACGGACACGATCAACTTGCTCGAGATTCCGTACATTTTCGATTGCATAATGTTCGTTGTATTAGTGATTGCGATTGTTCCTTTGCAGTGTTCACTATCGCGTACAGCAGTTCATGAGCTGTGGTAACGTCTTATTCATTATAGAACACCCAATTCGGCATTTTACCATTGTTTATCTTCCTCAGTAACTGTTTGTCGTTCACGGACAGTGTGATAACACTAAGCAAGCGGCCGTTGACTCATCGCTGCCATCCAACCGCTGGCATATGTTTGCTGCTGACTGTTTTCGACCGAAACTGTAGAGGCTGTTGTCGACTTCCGATCCCTTGAAGCTTCTATCACTGAGATTACCCACCAGCCTGGAACCCAGCGACGTCATTCAGTCTTTGGGCAGCCTCCCACACTGGATGGAGGCCCTATAAATGCTATCAGCGGAGCGGCTTCGATTTCCGCCGGCGCTGGGGCCTTTATGGGCCGACGTGCCTCTCTTGGGTCGCCGGCGACCGCCGACCGCCGTGACCGGTCGACCGGAGAGCGCGCGGTACTGACGACCACGCAGCGGCCGGCGCGGAATGGCCACCGAATGTCGGTGACGGATTGCTGTTAGCTGTTTCTTGCTTACGAGTTGCGTTGCTCATGTGACAATGAATAAACACAGGTTTGGCTTTTAGTAAACTTAAGTGGATACGACTCAGATGTAATTGTAACCCTCCTTCAATTTATGATGTTACCTTTTTTCGCCACGCTACCTTTTTTGGATGTAAGCAGGCAGGAATTCCAGGAGTTGAGTTACTCCCATGGGTCGCTGAATCTCCGTCGCTCGCGTATGGCCGAACGCCAGCCGGTCGTACGGGCTCCGGTCAGCGGTCACATCTGCCGTGTTTGCCAGTCCTCTGTGGATATTAATGAGCTGGTCAGGACGGTGCGACGGTCGTGGCGCGACTGACGCATTTGTGGCGCACCTGTTGGACGCCGCGGCGACGCGGACATACAGTGCGGTAACGAAGGGACGTTGGCGACGACATCTGGCTGCACATCAGGAACTTGTGCAGTTGGGCGCTACTTCGCTGAATCTGACAGCTTTATCAGATTACCTGAAGAAAAGTAGAGATTTCACTCCAGGTGGCATACGGCCATTAATGTGGGTAATCGTTATGGATACTTGAGATGCAAAATTGGATGGAGCTCTTCTGATAGTGCGTGGAAATGCACCTAGCGTGCTCCTTACCTCCACACTCAGCCAACCTGGTTTTCACTGGCTTCTTTCTTACGCTCCCTCTTTTTACGTCAAACAGCCCAGTCAATCACCAGAATTCACTCTCCACGGAGGCTATTGATCGGGGGTTGGAGGCGACTGCCCGCGGTGGGTGGTTGGTCGGCGTTCAACTGACCCCATTCTGCTCCTCCCTCCCCCTCCCCCACGCAGGCGTCGTCGGCTGCTGGTATACGGCTTCTGTCGTCGGGTGGCCGCCTCGCCTCTCTCCCGGGAGAGGCCCAGTGGCTGTCGTTCGACCCCGTCCGGCACCGATCCGCTCCGTTCGTTGCGGCGCTCCGCTCTGTCGCCCGCTGCGCTGTACCTCTCACCTCCCTCCTCCCGCTCTCCCCGCCACCTGTCTCTGCCCCGCCCCTGATCAAATGACCTTCCGTCTCCGGGATCCACTGGGATCCACGACCTTCCCCCATCCTCAAGCATCACCTCTGCGCGCCCTGTCTCCGATATCACACGCGTCACTTGCACAGTAAAAGTCCCCCAGGGAAGCGCTTCTTCAGGTACTGCACGTTTTTCCCTAGCCGTGACCGCGCTGCTGCCTCACGGCTTGTATCTGGTGCGTGAAATCACGCCAGTGTTCCGTGCGCCGCGCTCACGTCACAGATGGCTCGTCGATCGCGCCGCGATCAGACTGCATTGTCTCCTCCGCGGCGAGCGGTGGCGCAGCGGTGACAAATACCGCCGCAGCGGCGACGAGTTGCGAAGAAGCTTCGCGACGTCGCATAGGACTTGGAATGAATAGCTGACGTATGCTGCACTTGGACCTTCCTAAAAATTGTTCAAATTAACCCTATTCCTGGCGGGGGGGGGGGCCTCAGGAGCCCCCCCCCTGAGGTTTTTTGGTTATATCTCCCAAACGCGTTGAGCTATAGGAAGCTCAAATTTTCTGACTTTTCCTAAAAGGCTTCTACGCAACATGTCTGAAAATTTTGAGTTGATCTGACCTCAGGTCAGGTCACCAGAGGCGGTTTGGTGACGCTACCTCAGAAAAGTTTGCAATCACGCCAGAGCTAGAGTTTTTGACCGATCAATTTCTTCTCTTCAGGGTTTAGTTAGGGTACCAGTATGTGCAATTTGTATATCTCGGAATTTTGATATCGGTGACCTAAG